GTGTATGTGTGTATGTGTTCTTTTGTGTGTGTGTGTGTGTGCGTGTGTGCATGTGTGCGTGTGTGTCTATTTTAAAAATAAAAGAGAGAATGCTAAAAGAAACAAAACCCTGCATTGATTTTATTCCTTGTTACAGGCTCCAGATGAGAGAAATTACCACATATTCTACCAGTTGTGTTCTGCTGCAGAGCAAGGAAAGCTGCCTCATCTAAAATTAAGTGAGTTGACTGTACTTCAGAGTTACTATAAAACAAAATGATGAGTTTTTGGTATCTCAGTCAGGAGGAAAATTATGAGTTTTTAGTATCTCAGTCGGGAGGAAAAGGGGAGGTTAAGGATAGCTGATGAAAGGTAAACATTAACATGTCTCCTTGACGTCATGGATTGTAATTTTTTGTTTCGTTAGCAGGATGTGGGAAAAGTTTATTGTGTGTTGTGTTTAGATTCGGTAGATATTATTCTAATTTGATTGATTAATTTTTACTTTGTTTCTTTTATTACAATGAATTATGAGTTTGTTTTGAAGGATCCTTTTATGAATTGTGTTAATGGGTTTGGAAATGTGGCAATTTGATTCTGGTGAAATTGATATGTTTGAGTGAAAAGTAATTAACTGGGAATTATTCTTGTGTGAGTGTATAGTTGATGTCTTAGTCTGTGATTTACTAAATGATTTATTTGTGTTTGATGATTCTTCTATGTGTGAATACCCGACAATAAGTAGCTGTTGATATAGTACATTTGGTTGAAATTGAGAATATTGTTGAAATTAGAATTAATGTATAAAGTGTGTTATAAAATTGAGAAGACATACACTGTCTTTTATCTTGTACATAATGATGTATATTTTTATATATATTAGGAGGTGGGTTGTAATATATCATGATAGTAACTATAACTGAGACTATTTTTTTTAGAGAAGTCTTTGGTTTTGAATCTTAATTTTCATTTTTTCAGGTTTTATTAATTTTCTTCTTTTTCCACCATCATAAATCTTGAGATGTCATTTTTTTTGTTCACACACATATGTTTGGCCTATATTATTTACATATTACTAAATCTAAACTTCATTGATTATGCAAAATGCAAAAATAACCCCTTTGTTATTGTGGCTGTAGTCTTTTATATTGCTACCTATATGTTTAATCCACAAGTCCTTCCCTATCCCTAAAAAAAAACTTTCAAGATTTTATTTGTTTTTATATTTTTTATATGAAGATAAAACCTTTCCCTGTCCTACCCCTTCTAACTTCCTTCCACTTTTGAACTGCAATAACCTCTTCTTTAGGGAAGCCGGGGAGGTTTCACTACCTGAACCAGGGGCTTCAAGGAGAGGCCTTGGCGGCGCCCAAACCTCGCAAGGGTGTGGTTCAGTGAGCGATGCGTGTGTTGTGAGATAGATCGCTTGGCGCTAGGATCTTGCGGCTTGAGCTTTATTGAATTTTTCCCTCCCTCATTTCTGCCTCCCTCCCCTCTCCCCTTTTTTTTCTTTCTTTCTTTTTTTTTTTTCTTTTTCTGCAGCATGTTTTGAGGTTTTGGCAGTTTGTGATGCCCTTTCCTAATCTTGTTTTTTTCTTTCTTTCTTTCTTTCTTCTCTCCATTTCTCTTTTTTTTCTCTCTCCAATATTTGAAGAGTTAGTGTGGAAAGTGTACCTGCTAAAGGCACTCGCTTTATTCATTTGTTTAGCATTATGTTTTTTATATTTACAGTTTTTCTTTTGTAACACTAATTTGCATATCAGACTCAACACCTTTGGTCAGTTGGACATCACAACCCCATTATGAATTCCCTTTTGCCAGCTGGCCTCTTCACTTGGGATTTTCTTAACTTAGTCTGATGTGCCTCGTCCCAGTCTTTGTTGAAGACATTTATACGATAATTTATTTTTTGAGTTTCTTATTCCAATGGCATTATTCAAATGTATATATGGTGAGGGTGGATTTCAAATTCTTCAAAATTGAGTGTAGAAAATGTGCAAGAATTATTTTCTGCAGTCTGCTTGGCATAATGAACAAGGTGCTCATTAGTAGGGCAAATGACTTAGAAGGGATATGATTATTGTACACTATCTTGAAGTACTATAATTCTGTATATATTCATATTAACTTCATGAAAACATAGGATACTTATAGTTTCATAGAAACTTAGAAAAATATAGTGCAGTATCTGTATTACATAATATGGCAGACTAAGCTATGTAAGCTATATCTGGCTACTGGTAGATACAGTAATGTAATTCCAAGAAATAAAGCCATTTTATGATTTTATTGAAGGTAAATGCTTTGGCTTTTTTCTCTCTTTTTTTTTTTGTCCTTCAAATATTTCTACCTTGGTGGTTGCTTTGAAACTCTTTGGTATTACAATTACATTGGTAACATCTTTTGCTTGGTGAAAGGAGAAAGGAGTATGAGACCGTTGAATTATGTGTTTGCTTTTGACCAGAAAATGAATTGTGCTTGTTTGCAAGTTTGAATTTTATTGGAGTCTAGGTATTTGTGA